CCTTTTGGGGGTGGCCTAGGTGCTTGCCGATTTGGGATGACTGCGCCAGCTGGCGACAGCCCGATGCCAGTGGCCGCACTCGTCCCTCCTCCGCCTGGTCCAACGCCACCTCCTCCACTCCCACTTGCCTTTGGGAACCGGCCGATGGTGCTTCTCCAGCTGTCCAGCTCTTCCTCCTTATGACCTGCAAGGCGAAAAGCAGACCGCAGCGAGTCAGGCTCAAACACCTTAACCGCCGCGGCTATCTCTGGCTTTAGGCCAGCCATGCACAACCCAACCAGGGTGTCCTCCGGCACTCCCTTACATTGATTGTCCAGCTTGAAAAAATCCGCCTTGTACTCCGCGACTGTCCCTGTCTGGCGTAGCTTAGCCAGTTGCTCCGGTGCCCACCATTCGGATTTGCCAAACTGATATCACAGCTCTTCCTTGAACAAAGGCCAGGTGATCAAGGTCTGCGCAGCTGCGCATGATCGCTCCAGCCACTCCCACCACTGTAACGCGTCCCCCTCTAGGTGCGCCTTCCTCTCTTCTTTGTTCAATGACGAAATTTTATACCAACCGCCCAGGAAAGCAACATCAAGTGATCAGACTGATCTATTACTCTCAACGAACGTATATGCTACAAAAAAATAAAAATACGACAATACGCGAAGATCAGAAAGGCTTGAAGAGCATATGATCGACATCGGACAAGGAAAGTCAGATAATCATGAGGCGGTTGAGAGGGCAATCCAAAGCAAAAGAAATAAATGTGAATTGCGATGAACTCAAGGTGAAGCAAAAGGCAAAACTTCGAAGCGCCACTTTCAAAAGAATCAAGCTTGTGCATCTTTTGCAACTACTACATGTATCAGGTATGTGAATGAACTATCAAATTTTTAAATTCATGTCTTAAATTTAAAGTGAATGATATCTCACTTACATTTATTCTTTGTAATTTTTTCTTTGTATCAGGAACATCATATGTCACTGCACATACTTTCTGCAGAGCCATTGTTGATATTCATGAAGTGATTGCTACTTTGAAGAAGGATGTAGATGAACAGATACAAAGAGTGGCAGAAAGAATGTTCCGAGACCACCACTTCAGAATGTTAAACTTCTGATCATCAATCTCCTCATTAACAGCATCACCAACATCTCTCAAATATGAATCCAACTCACCAAATACTCGACCCCCCCCTCTCAAGTTGCTCCTTTCTCTTCTGTTGGAACCGACCTTCAAATGCACCTCCCATAACAGAAAACTCGGCACTAGTCGCAATAGGAGGAGTAGTCTGAGTAGTAGCTTCGGAATCAGAAGGTGAAGATGCATACTTCACCTTGTATACCCCAACCGACTAGGTCACAAGGTAGGAAAGTGGCCGTAAATCCAACACTGTAGTAAAGTCAGACAACTCGCCAAAACCTTAGCCTCCGCCGCGAGGCAATACCAAGCTTCCTGTACATGTAAGCAAGTGCTCCAGCCCACCACGAGTACTCTCTCAGCATCTCCGGCCTCTTCACAAACAAGTTGATAACAGAAGAAACGCGGTCCTTACTCTTATCTACGAACAGTGTGGACCCTATAAGCAGAAGAAGGTAACACTGAGCCGCTCTAGCTGGCGGACCAAACTCCTGTAAATGAGCCAAAGCTGCCACACCCAACAAACCATACCCTCTGTACAACTTAGAATCTCTAGCGACCTCTCCTATATGCGCCCCAGGCCCAAATCAGCACGATCCACGCCCAATAGTGCTTGCATGTCATCCTTCAGTGACATCTTCTCCAACTGCCTCGAATCCGCTGCCATCGCCTCTCCCTCAACTAAAATGCCAAGGATGTGCACCACGTCGTGAAGGAGGATTGTCATCTCTCCAAACGGCATGTGGAAGGTGTTCGTGTCCGGTTGCCACCTCTCCACAAATGCCGATATGAGAGCACTGTCCAGCTCACTCTGGAAGGTGATATCTGCGAGATGGGCAAGGCCCGATGACTCTACGGTACCCCTAGTGCGAGAATCTGCGATCACGTAACTCTCTAGAACGTGCTCAAGTGTCGAACCCCTATCATAGCAAGTGATCACACCTCTATCAGTCTGTCCTGTATCAAGACGGTGGGCAACATGCCCAAGAAAGCTATGGAGCAAACTCGGGTCGCTCGGCCCTCCAGCACACGGTCCTCTAAGCTCACATCCTGCTCCGACATCAGCATTACCCCTCTGACCCTCACCGGGCTGTGGAGCTCTGTAGAAACGACCCGCATGGTCTCTATAAATCCCAGCAACGACGTGTGGCGATCCGGTGGCGGCACCTCTATCTTTGATAAGAATGTCTCGTGGAATGCGATCCTCAACAGCATCCGACTCATACTGCTCAGACTAGTCATTAATCTCGTCTGAAGGCTCCAACAGTGACCCTATGCTGATCCCTCATCCCAAAGCTGTGGCTAGAACGACCTCCACTACCAACCATACTAGGCAACTGAAAATCAAACTCAGGAAAGCCATCTGACCTCATTCTCATCGGGTGCTCTATCTGATGTGGATGAGGCTCAGGCTCTAACTCCTCCCCCGAACCATCTCCATGCTTTGACTTTTTATTTCTCGTACTCATACTAATTTTACGCCCAAAGAATCTACTCAATTTCTTTCCTGATTCTCCAGCATCACCAACTGACGCCATCTCTAAACCTAGTAAATAATTATATATTAATCTCTTATAATAAATTGATTTTTGACCAATTTAAGTCACAATTTTAACTTATCATACAACTTATGATACATCCAACTTATTAACTTATCATAGACTAATTAAATACGATAGATAGTTATTTAACTAATTACTTCAATTTACTCAATTACTTAACTAAAATAAGATAGATAATTATTGTTAATTATATAATTAACAATTATATACTAATTATTCAACTAACAATTATATACTAATTATGTAATTAACAATTACATACTAATTATTCAACTAACAATTATATACTAATTATGTAATTAAAAATTACATACTAATTATTCAACTAACAATTATATACGAATTATATACTAATTATTATACTGACAAATGAATTTATAATAAATATATATATAATAAGTATTCAAATACATCGAACCGGTCAATGCCTGTCTGACCAGGCCCAGCGGACGGGGTCCGACCAGGTGAGGCGGACGGCTTCCGATATCGGGCCAAGCCCAACGCTGGCAGGCGGACAAAAAAAACAACATTTTTTACGGCGGCGACTGCAACAGTGGCGATAGGGAGCTCCAGGGTCGGCGCCGGAGATTGCAAGGTGGCTGGCGGCGGCCGGCGAAGGTTCTGACTGGCTGGAGGCTGCTGGACGAGGTTCGGCCGACGGATGTTCAGGCTGGCTTGGCGAGATTCGACCGACGGAGGAGCAGCGGCGAAGCGGGCTGCTGGTGGTGGAAGGGAGGTGAGGGGTAGGGAAGGGAGGTGAGGGTTGGGTTGAGTTGGGTTGGGGTACATAGGTTTAGGGTTTTAAATTAGAGCATGGGTATTATCGTCATATTTTTAGTAACTGTGGGCAGTGCAGTCAAAATCGCGCATTAAAACGTAAAAACTTACGTTTTTACGTATCTAGGCCACCAAAACGTTTCAGTTTCTACCTAAAGTCACTTAGTCACAAAAACTGGTAAAAGCATGGGTAAAATCGATAGAATCGCTTAAAATCGGTAAAATCGCGATTCTGAAGCGTTTTTATACGATTTTGATCATCTCATAAAAATGTGCTAATTGGTCCAAAATGAAGTAATTTTTGAGACATATTAGCAAAAAATAAAAAAAAAAGGAAAACATGATTCATCACTCGTTCTACAACTAGTGTCGAAATAGGGGCTTCACATTAGGTTGAAAAACACCTAATGGTATTCTCAACAGTCGCTAACCTTCTATCAGTCTTCTCCCTTAATCTTCACATGTGGCTCTTACATGTGTTACGATGAAAGTTTATGGGTAATTGACCGTATGTAATTATGTAAACTCAAACCAGTTTATTAGAATTTGGATTCTCAAGCTCGTATACGGGTTACGATCTACGTTTATGAGCTTATTATTAAGATGCTATGAGTTTTCTCTACTTTTGAGTCAACGCAAATTAGTTTATGTGTTAGATATTATATTTTAATTATGAATTTCATGTAGTTATCCACTTATCTAAAATCTACACACTCACATTTATATACTATATGTTGTACTTAACATATTTTAGCTATTTTAGAGGGTGCGTCAAAAACTTACGATTTTACGCTTTGATTCTACGTTTTACGATTTTACTCATTTTCCGCTTCTAGGTAGAATCGCGCTTTTAACTGCATTGACTGTGGGCATCAAATAGTAAAACTAGGGCGGCAAATAGTGATTCATTTTTTTTAGTCCCCCTTCTTTGGTTGGAATTAATCCATTTCACTAAATTTTTATTTTTATTTTAAGTGATCTGGCATGTTGAATGGACAAAAGTAACGGTTTTTTAGATGGAGATGGGCGGAATGACCTTTTCGTTATTCGCTCAAACATATGTTACTAAAACGTGCAAAATGAAAGATTTGTTACCATTTTGTAAAAAGTGAATATGTTTGTAACCTTTTATGTGAATTACCCTCTTAATTTCTCGAGCATGTTAGACCAGCCACAGCAAGCATGGGAAAAAAGGGGGAAAAGGGGAAAAAAAGGAGGGGAAAGCCTACAATAAGGTAGGATAAAAGGCTAAAATGGAAAAGAAGGCTATTGGGGGAGGGTTTACCCTTCTGAAAAAAGACAAAAGAAGGAGGAAAAAGTGGGTTGCTCGCGGAAGAAGATGGATGGGCTGGCGCCTTCTTTTTTTTTTTGTTCTTTTTTGTAACAGATTGAATTTAAATGGTTTTTTTGTATGTTTAGGCCAACGGCCATATTCTACAACCGCCATATTTCCAACCGCTATTTTTTCAACGGTCATATTTCCAACGACCACATTTTTTTCAGCTCTATAAATAAAATTCATTCTTCACTTTCTTCCAACACTTATCAAACTCTCTTCCTACCTTCGAAACAAAAAATTCTCTTCTTCCCAAACACTCTGTAATCATAATCATGGCTTCTTCCGATAGCGAGCGCAATCCAAATTACACAACGCCTGAAGACCTTGTTTTGTGCCAAGCTTGGATGGAAATTTCACAAGATCCAATTATCGGTCGTTATCAATCTTCACCAGCTTTCTAGAAAAGAATTGGAGAAGGATATTCAGCAAATGGCTTTATGATCAATCGTACTAATGGCGCCTTGAAGACTCGATAGCAGTTTTTCAACCATTCACGTCAGAAGTGGTATGCGGCATTGAGGGAAGCAAATGCTAATCCACCGAGCGGAACTAACCAAGTAGATGTGGTTAGTCAACTTCTAAAATATCTATATTTAATTAATGGTATAATTTTAGTGTTTTAATTTTTAATTGTGTTTATTGTTTTCTAATTAATTGTGTAGATCCGTCAAGCGAAAGATATTTTCAAGACGGACACGAAGAAAGACTGGAAGTTGGAAGAATGTTGGCAACTACTCTAAGAGTGTCCAAGTTTTATCCAACAATTTTATGCTCCCGTTGCACCCATTCCACCAATGGATGGATTTTAATCGACTATGTCAAGTGATGAACCTGATAGCCCCGGCCGGCCTTCATGCAGTTGCTGCTCCAAGAATGATCAACCATCCCGAAGGTCGAGATCAACAAAAGAGGAAGAAAATAGGAGGTGGTGATTCTTTTGCCATGGAAGCTTTTCAAAAGAGTTTGGCGGACATGGCGGAAAGTTCAGCAACACATGCAAAATTGGCTGTCGGTAGGGAGGAAAGGGAGAAGGCGAAGGAAGCAACGGAAAAATGTAGGTACGAGCGAGAAATCATGCTTCAGGATCTTTCTCAATTGGATCCTCAACAAAGAGCATGGTACCAATTTTAAAGAGATCAAATTATGTTTGCGTACCAATCATCACCACCTTCTACACCAGCTTGTACACCACCTGGAGGATCTTCCAGTAGCCCATTTGATGATACTTACACCCCAGACCAGTAGTCTCTAGAAGGTTGTTTGGTTTATTGTTGATGTATGTTTTATTTTTAGTGTATTTGATTTATGTACTTTCAATTTACCCCCGATGTATCTTTTATTTTCAATGTATCCTTTTTTAGGTTTTTGTTCAATATTTAATGCAACAACTTTCTTTATTAAGACACTAGAAAATGGAGAATACATTGATAACAAAATGGAATAATCCATTGATAACAAAATGGAGAATACATTGATAACAAAGCACAACAAAAAGAAATAAAGTAAATTCAGCACACAATACAAATTTAAGTAAGTAAAGTGCACAATTTAAATTTTGAGCCCTCCCATATTTATACTCCCCTCCCCCTGCTCTTGTCCACAAATGCTCAACCAAATCCGCTTTCAGCGCAAGATGCCCTTCCCGGTTACGAATCCTATTATGCCTTATCATGTACTCCATGAGATTCGGAGTGTCATGATCCGGTGGATCCAATGTGACATCTGGATTAGTCTCATATTCAAATGCCTCCACATGTTCTTCTCCAAACTCATTTCGTTGGTCTTCAACTATCATATTGTGTAGAATAACGCAAGTTAGCATAATATCTCCCAATGTTTGTACATCCCAATATCGACCCGGAGCTCTAACAATGGCCCATCTTTCTTGTAGAATGCCGAAAGCTCTCTCAACATCCTTGCGGTATGACTCTTGCCATTTTGCAAATAGTTTCTTCTTCTGGTTACTAGGGTTGGTAATGGTTTTCACAAATGTTGACCATTCAGGATAAATTCCGTCAGCCAAGTAGTAACATTGATCGTAAATTTTACCAAATACTGTATAGCTGACTTTTGGAAGATTTCCTCTAAGGCTTCATCAAACAGTGGGGAGATTCCAAGCGTGCTTATGTCATTGTTTGATCCGGGACTTCCGAAGAAGGCATGCCAAATCCATGTGTCATATGATGCTACAGCTTCTAGGACAATTGTTGGCTTCCCCTTTTATCCAGTAAATTGTCCTTGCCACGCCATTGGACAATTTTTTCACTCCCAATGCATGCAGTCGATTGAACCAATCATACCTGGAAAGCCACGTCAATTGCTGTGATGAAGAAGGCGGCGAAGATCCTCCATATTTGGTGATCGTAAGTACTTAGAACCATAGATGCAGATAATGGCATTACAAAATTTACCTATACACTACACTGCAGTACAGTGGTCTCACCCATATCAAATGTTTTGTCTAGGGAGTCGGCTGAGCATCCATTTGAAAGCATCCGAAGGGAAGTAGTAAGCTTTTGTTCGGGGGAGAATGATAGGCGACCCGCAGCATCTCGGCCTTGCTGGATGTAGGGGTCGTGTTGAACAACGACACTCATGACTCAGTTGAACAAGGAGAGGGGCATCCGAAATCTCCTTCTAAAGAACCTAACGTCGTAGGTTGGATTGGGAACGAAATATTACTGCATCAAGCGTTGGTGTGCTTCTACCCTGTTATGCCTCACAACTTTCCGTGAATGTGAACGATGTCGAGATGAGGATGCTTGCTCTTGGAACATGAAGGCTCCTGCTATCGCCATCATTTGTTGACGATCACGGTCAAGCTGACACTCATACTCCCATTGCCTAGCATCATCATCCGATTGCTGCCTCTCATCAACTTCTCTATTAGGGAAACTCATGATGAAAAAAAGTTTGTGTGTGTTGAGAGAAATATGAAGTTGAGAGAACGAAGAAGGTTGACAGGTGGGATGAATGGATTGACAAAGTTTAGCCTTCATTTATAGAAACATTACAAGATTCTCCAGCAATAATATGACAACTGGATGAACAGTTGATGACACCACTCAATATGATTAAAGCTGAATGAACAATTGATGGCACCACTCAATATAATTAAAGCTGGATGAACAGTTGATGACACCACTCAATATGATTAAAGCTGGATGGACAGTTGATTTTACCACTTAATATGATTAAAATTGGTCAAAAAAATTGATGGAACCACTCATTTCGTGAAACATGTGATGAGTTATAGTATTCTGCAAATTATTGAGATTCGTCATTGATGACGTCATATTTAATTAGCGATAAAAAAATTATGTCCAAATTAAGAAAAATATATCGAAATGTTCATCTTAATTAATTAATACTACCTGTATAAAAATAATAATAATATTCTCAAAATAAAATTATCATATCAACTCTAAATTGGTTTTGAAGAAAAAACCCTCCATTACCCTTTTTTCCCTCACACCTATTGTGACCAAATCCTTTCCTCCACCCTTTTCCACCCTTTTCACCCTTCCACCAATCCATTGTGGTTTGTGGATGGTCTTAGAATCGGGTATAATTTGGATTGCCAGGTCCAAAAACCGAACCCGCAACAGAGAATAGAACGCTAAACGGTTGACGCGGTAAAACCCGCAACCCGAGACTTCTCGCGGCCCTTCGACGGGCTTGGATAGAATAACAACACTTTTAGTATTGTTATTGTAACAACATGATTCATTAAGGGTAAAAGGGTAATTTAATATAAAAAACAAAAATAAAATCTAATGAATCCATCTCCGCCAGCGCAACACCTTCCTCCTGCATCTCAGTCGGCGGAGGCAGCACGGGACCATCGGAAGTGAAGGTCAGCGTCGCCGTAGCCATTGCCGTTGCCGTTCTCGGCGTGAATCGAGCCGAAGGGGCCCTCAGAGCAACCACGGTGGCGGAGCTGGATTGGGCCGCCGCCCAAGCCACCGCTTCGAGGCTGGAATCGCCCTTCCCTACTCCGACGTACACGCAGTCCTCCGCTCCCCCGCCGCTGCCGTTGACGTCTACGGAGAACATGCTCCCGGTGTCCGTCAGGCTGATCTCTTCCTTGATGCTCGCCATTGCCGCCCTTCCATGGTTGATCTCGAACAGCTCGCTCTCCTCTTCGATCTCCCACACGCTGCTGCTCTGCTGGCGATTGCTTCCCTCGCTGTCGCGGCGGCCGGGAGAGTCAGCCGTCGATGCATTCGCCATTAATTAGTCGATAGTGTGAAAGAGGGAAGAGAGAAAGGGATTTGAGATGAAGGGGAAAATGAGGAAATCTGGTCAATTTGTTTAGTTGGGAAAAGAAGGATTTGGAGTAGCAAACCAAAAACCTCCCAAAACTGAGAAGAGGCTTCTTGTCTTACCTCTGGAAGCCTCAGTCATTGCTGTTCTCTTGCTTGTATTGCTTGGTGCCTTCTACGTGGTATGTAACCTCTTCCTTTGAAGGATTTAAAGTAAATTTCTATAATGAATCTTGGTGCCCTGTATCTGTTCGAAGCTTCCTACTTCTCTCTGAGAAAACGTCCATACATTTTCTGAATAGATTTCTAACTACAAACAACAAGCAAATGTGCTAATTTAAGTACAATGACCAAGTTAGACCTGGAAAAATAAGGTTGTTGATGGTTGGTCAGGTTTAACACTTTGTTTCTGTTTAAAATATTATATTTCAAGAATAGAGATCTGCATCGTGGTTTTGTTCTGCACTTCTCTGGCGAAGTATTTATTGTCAAATAGAGGTGGGCTAGAGGTGGGGATCTAGAACTGATTGGAATCTATCTTGTGTTTCTGTACAGGTTCATTGTGTATGGGCAGCAGCAGAAGCTTATTCAGCCCCTTCCATTGTTCTTACATCTCACTCGAATGATGGTGGCTTGCATGTTTTTGATGATTTTAGAGAGGCCTATTCATGGTTGAGCCACAATACTGACGTGGATGATAAAGTATGATTAATCCTGCTCTCTTTTCCTTTCATCGATTTGCAGACATACTGGCTTCAGACGTGATAAAAAAAATCACAAAAAAACGTACCAGAAACCTCCCAATCCATACCACAAATCCCCTAAAACAAACCAAAAACCCCACAAAGCATACCACAAATATTCCGAAAGCACACCAGAAACCTCATAATGCAAACCACAAACACGGTAAAACAAACCACAAACCTCCTAATGCAGACCACAAATATATTAAAACAAACCAGAAACCCCACAATTCAAACCATAAAATTTTCGAAAGCACACCATAAACTTCTTAATGCAAACCAGAAACACAGTAAAGCAAACCAGAAACCTCCGAATGCATACCACAAATCTCCTAAAACAAACCACAAACCTCATAAAGCAAACCACAACATTTGCGAAGCACACCAGAAACCTCCTAATGCAAACCATAAACAGAGTAAATCAAACCACAAAAAAGCAAACCATAAACGTCCTAATGCAGACCACAAATATATTAAAACAAACCAGAAACCCCTCAATGCAAACCACAAAATTTTCGAAAGCAAACCAGAAACTTCTCAATGCAAACCACAAACACGATAAAGCAAACCATAAACTTCTCAATGCAAACCACAAACACGATAAAGCAAACCACAAAAGGCATACGAAAATATGAGAAACCAAACCATAAATCTCACAATGTAGACCATACAACCGGTGGTCGTTGACCGTTGACCGGTCAACGAAGTTCGTTGACCGAACTCCGGTGACCGTCAGTGACCGGATTCCGGCGCCGATAGACATATTCCGGCCCCGATGACTAGATTCCGACGCCGGTAAGCATATTCCGACCACGGTGAGCATATTCCGGCGACGGTGGCATATTCCGATGACAAAATAGCATATTCCGGCGACAAAAAAGCATATTCCGGTGACCAGCGACCATTTTTCGGCGGCCGTTGACCGAATTCCGACGACCAAATTTTTGGACAGAAAATAAAAAAATATTTTTTTATTTTTTTTTATTTATTTTTTTTATTATTTAAACAGATTTTTCATAATGACAATCATACCCCTGCTTTGATTTTACACTAGGTCAACTCATCTAATAAAAAGTCATCACAATCCTGACTTTCTATTGGTTGGAGACTAGTGTTGTTATACTAACCGGTCCCCCTTCGACATTTCTCAGCCACCACAATTTTTGTGTCTTTGGCTAATTGTCGTCTCTCTCATCCCGCGGCCGGTTTTCGGATTTCACAACCGAATCGATCGCGACTGCGGCCTCAACTCTTTCCTCTCTCGCTTCGAGCTGGCCCGCTGAGTCTTGGTCATTCTATCCCAGCACTCTCTCAAGCGTCTGAATTTCCGCTTGTAGAGAACGCGACGGAACGGAAGGAAGACGGCAGTGGTGTGTTTGAGTGTGAATGAGGTTGTAAGGGCCTAAGTTTTAGGTATGGGAATGGGAGCGAGCTCTGTCTCCGACAAGGACCCCAATGGATGGGGCGGAAGAGCTCAGGGATTGGCCGTCAAGACGCTGGTTCTGGTCGGGGGTGCGCTTCTGTTGAAGCGGCTTACTAAATCCACTACTCGTTGGGACCATGCTCGCTTCGTCTCTCAATCGCTCACCGGTGAGAAGGTGCTGCTGGTTCTGATTCTCTGATCTTGTACATTTCTAGTGCTTTGTTCTGTTTTTGGGTCATTATTGTTTTCGTTGGTTTGGCACTTTCCATAATGGAAATTTTGTTGTGTTTGTACTGTGCGAGTAGTTCTCCAGGGAGCAAGCATCCAGAGATCCTGATAATTACTTCAATATTAGGTAGTGAATTCCCCTGCACGCTTTGTCTTCGGTTTTGGTTGTTCGGGAGTAATCAATCGAAATGAGAATGGTGCTATGCTTTGTTGGGATGGTGCAACCAGTTCTCGAGCTCTCTACCGTCGAATTTCCGCTTCTCTTTTGCTTGTTCCTTACTGTTGTACTTTCAACTTCGTACGGTGCAGGATGTTTTTATGCCCTGCTGCTGAGATGGTGGATGGTTCAAAGGTTTTGTACTTTGAGCAGGTTGAGTTATTGTCTAGCTGCATTGATTGAGATTCTGTTTTTTATTCCATTTCCTTGTGAGACTTTTCTTATCAGCTTGATAAGTTTTCTCGTTGTGGGTTTCATTCTTCATACCAGGCATTCTGGCGAACTCCTCATAAACCCTTTCGGCAGGTTTGGTTTACCATGTTTAGCCGAAATATTGGCAGTGAAAATGGCATGTTCTGGACGTGATATAATGGAACCTTTCAATTTCAAATGTTTTTTTCCCCTCCAAGATTTTGATAGTACAGTGTGCTTCAGCATGAGAAATAGTAACTAATGTTTTAAGTCTTATACCCTCTTTTGGTTTTTCATGATATCTAAAATGGCTAGGGGAGTGCTGTTAGAAAGATTTAAGAGCTGGATGATATGTTTTTGGGTACAGTTTACCACCTCTTTTTACTGGATGTATAGGAACTAGACTTGCCGTGTTTCTGCTTTAAACGATGGCTGGCCATTTCAGAATACTGATGAACTTTCGTATACATGGCAGAGGTTTTACATGGTGAAGCCTTGTCCAAAGGAGTTAAAATGTGATGTGGAGGTACCAGCTTTTGTGAAATCTCTCTGTTCTCTTCTTGGTGCCCATCGAGAATAGAGTTACTACTCAAAACAACAAATTCAGTCTTCCTATCTCCCGTCTGGGTTACAGGTAAGTACATATGCAATTAGAGATGCAGAAGAGTACAAGAATTTCTGTGATCGACCAAAGGACCAACGCCCACTTCCTGAAGAAGTCATTGGTGTAAGCCTTATATTCTAATGTCAGAATGTGGTACTGAATTGTGAAAACTTCTTGTTTTATGTTGGAATTATTTACCTTACAACTTCCCTGAAGCATATCTTGGCTGGCTGGTATATTTAGTGTTGCATACACATTGATGCATGCATTTGCAACATGTTAAGTTTTTTTTTCTTTTATTCTTGCAACATGTTAAGTTTTGACAGAGCAGGTATTGAACAAATGACACACTCTAGTTAATTTGACCATCCACCTCCTACCTGCATCTGCTTTTCTTCGTCATTTCTTTTATAGCAAGCCATGTTTAAAGTTCGAAATCATTCGATTGAAATTCAGCATATATATATATATATATATCTGTTGGTTGGGATATGATCGGTTTCAGATGTGTGTTTGAAATGTTCAGATGTGTGTTTGGAATTGTGATTTGTACTGCTAAGTTGAGCCTTCTGCTTCATTCAGTCAGTAATTATTATTGCTATTCTATGTTAAGTCGAGCCTGTCGTGGATTGTTTTTGCAGGATATTGCAGAACACCTCACCACATTATATCTAAATCGTTGTGACCGTAGAAAACGCTGCCTTTATGAAGGTTCCACTCCACCAGAAGGATTCCCTAATACATGGGTATGTGCATTTCCGGAACCTCTCCATCCCGCATCATTTGCAATTATCTGTTTATCATTATGTCATGCGTTTAACTCCATTACTAATGCCTGTTTATCTACATCATTTCCCCTTCTGTCCAGAATGGTGCTTCCTATTGTACCTCGGAGCTTGCTGTACTGAAGAACAACGAAGTGCATATGTGGGATAGAGGTTATGACGACGATGGAAATCAGGTTGTAGCTTCATTTAATTTTGCATTTTGACACAATGGTGATACAGAAGCACTGTTTCTAATCCAAGCTTTTGACCATCTTTTACAGGTCTGGGGAGTGAGGGAAGGTGCCTATGAATTCAAGCCTGCACCAGCTTCTACTAACCTCAATGGCATTTTTACCTCTTTAAACTTCCCCCCTGCCCAATCAATTGCTAAAAAGATAGAGGGTTCCTTTGTCTTGGAAGACTGATCTCATTCACCAAGTAATAACCAGACCAATGTGATAGTGCTGTATATATAGCATTGTAATTGATCATTAGAAAAAGCTTGCCGAATTTCGGCTTACATAAGAGTTAGTTACAGTTTGGCTAGCAGAGAAAGTATGAAGTTGAAGGGAAAGAAGCAGCAGCAGGATGTGGTTGGTTTCTTCAGCCTTGGAAGGTGTTGTTGAGGTAGAAGTATAGTGCAGCGAGGGCGACGACTCCAACCACAACAGCAATCGGCAAAGCTCGCCTGCGAAATAAGCCAAACGAAAATGACTAAAGATGAGACTTGGAGAAGTAATTTGCATGCAGCATTCATAGATCACTTTGCGTACAAGTCAATTTTTACCCTATTGCTTCATCCCTCTGTAACTCTGCTTTGCGTGCTTTTCTAACATCCTTATCGTTTGCACCCTTAGTCACCGCCGGTGTGTACGGCCTAAACCTCCTCTTCGGCGCACCACAAACTGCCAGAGCCATAGAGTCAAAAGTAAATGAGCCAGTGCGAACCGGAAGTAAGAGGATAAGATATGGGCAAGCATTATCGACCAATGATATGCAAGAGCGGACCGGCCCCTAAGCAGAGCCTTATCGGCATCTTCGAAAAGAAGAGACTTTTATCAAGGCGTAAGGAGTTTACCACGGCAGAAGAAACTGTCAGGCAGCTTCTCAAAGGGAGTTTTGTCGTTGTAAATGTACCTGCAACCCACACACAACCACAGTCAGCAAATTCGCTAGCCACTCATCCTGAAAGTCCTAAATGGGTACTAACCCGCAATCGCGGCAGATGTAAGCTTGTTTGGAAGCGACGCGCATGGAGAATTTGGGAGCAGCAGAGGCAAGGGGAAGGTGGCGCAGTGAAGCTGTGAAGAGGTGAAGTGAGGGAGAGAAGAAGGCTGATTTCAGGGCAAAGCGATCTGGTGGCGGCCTGAGCCCAGCATTTTGAGGGGAAGGAGATAATGATGAGAGACAGGGGGATGAGGGGCCTGAGGCTTGAAGCCTTGTTGATTGTAGCTGTAACGCCATTTCTTTCTTTGTTTCTTCTAAATGTTACCTTCTGCTGGAGGGGAGGGAAGGGACAACTTGTTGCAAATGAAAAATGAGGAAATGGAAGGAGGGAGAGATGATAAGAGAGTGTGGTGGTGGACTGGACGATGATGAAAGAAGCTGGAAAGTTATTATGATTGGCTGATGTGGAAGAGGGGAGCGTGGCTTTCGTACCTCCCCACACATGACCACTCTCTATGTACCCTTCTAGACCATCCCGGGCTCTACCACCACCTTTTCTGCCTTGTACGGGCTCTTTTTGTCCATACTTGGTCGAGGGTGGGTGGGCATGCGGTTCGGGAAACGCAAACTGAACCAGATCGCGAAGCTGAAACACAATCGAATTGCTCTTTGTTCGGTTCAAAATTTGTTGTTGGACGTGTTTGTGCGTGAGCATGTTGTAGCTCAAGCACTCGTTTGGTTAGTAAGTGAAGTGTTGGGTAGCACTTGGTAATTGACCAAGTTGCATGTCTGGCTACCTCGTCCGCCAGTGGCGGCTTTGGTTTGTATGAGACGAATCCTTCGTCTCCGATGTTTCTTAGTTAGTCTGATAACGCTAATCAAGTCTATGTTGGTGAACTCCTCAATGAATCCAACTATGAAGATTGGATTCACGATACGACGAACTCCCTTTGGTGAAGAACAAGTTGGGATTCGTTGACAGTACCATACCAGAACCCACGGATGTCATGCAACTGGTTAACCTGCACCATTGATAAGTAAGTCCGGTGTGGGATGCGTCATGCCAAAACAACAAAAGATGTTTGGGTTGATCTCGTGTGGTTTGTGTACTTGTGGCCAGGATAAAAAGAATCACGCCCGTGAGGAGAAATTTTGGTTGTCTGACTTTCTCATCGGACTCGAAATGTCGTTTACTACGGTAAAGACTCAAGTTTTATTGATGAAGGTAATGCCTAGCTTGTCTGAGGCTTGCCAGTTGGTCATTAACGATGCACATCAGAGGCGGATCGCTTTCACCCAACGGGTTGTTCCCAAGGCAACTGCCTTTTTGACCCGCGATGCCACCCAGTCTCGGCCTGGAGCAAGAGAACGGTCCAAATGCACTCATTGTAGGAAGACGGGTCACTTAAAGGAGCGATGCTTCGACATCATTGGATGGCCAGAGAAAGGGGCCGAATCTGGAGCGAAGCGCAAGCCTCCCGATCGTCCTCGTCCCCATCATCGCACGTCGAATATCGAAGCTGGGAAAAGCCCCGTATCTGGCCTATCACTCTCCTAACTTGAGCAGCTCCAGAGTTTCTTGAAAGGGGACGTCGGGTCTCTCGATTCGGCCTCCTCTAAGATGCAAGGTAAATTCTCTAACCTCGATGAGTAGATCATCGACTCGAGGTGCAATGAACATATAGTCAAGGATCAGTCTATGTTGCTTCGTGGGGTAGTTCCTTTGATTTAAAAGTTAGCATTCCGAATGGTGATATGGTTGGGGTTGGCAAAATTGATTCTGTTCAGTTGGGCAATGGGATGGTCTTGCCTCGTGCTCTGCTGGTTCATGAGTTCAAGTGCAATTTCTTGTTCGTTAGTCGTCTTACCATCGATTTTCCCATTGCTTTGATGTTCTTGCATGACTTGTGTGTGATACAGGACTTACATTCAAGAAGATGATTGGGATGGGTAAACAACGTGAAGACCTCTATCACATGCGTTTGTTCGATGAAGTTAAGCACGCCATGGTGAACGCGACACAAGGGAAAGAGGTTGCCACGCTGGAGCTTTGGCACTCTCGTTTTGGTCATCCCTCTAGAGATCAAATTTTGTTGTTACATTTGTTTCCGCATAGCACTCGGTTATCTAAAGACAGTTGTTCTTCCTGTTTGCGAGCTAAACAGACTCGAGATTCTTTTTCTTTAAGTTCAGTAAAGAGTACTTGGCCTTTTGAATTGATACATGTCGATATTTGGGGAGAATATCGAGTTCCTTTTCCCTCAATGATTCTCACTACTTCCTTACTATAGTTGATGATTACAATCGTAGTGTGTGTTTATTTGTTACGGTATAAGTCGGAGGTGGCTCAGTATTTGATAATGCTTTGTAACCCGGTGTACGTCAACATGGTTACTCTGTTGCGAAGATTCAGGCTGACAACGGATTTGAGTTTCAGACTGCTCTGCTCAAGGAGTACTACGAACTAGAAGGCATTCTCCTTCAGACCTCTTGTGTCGATACTCTCCAACATAATAGGGTCGTTGAGAGGAAGCACAATCACTTGCTTGAGATCACCCGTGCCCTCCGGTTTCATGCGAACTTGCCCATAAAGTATTGGGGTGAGGGCGTGTTGACTGTTGCGTACTTGATCAACCGGTTTCCTTCCCGAGTCATTGGTGGTAAGTCTCCCTTCAAATTGATGTTTGGAAGTTCCCCCGGTTACAGTCACATTCGAACATTTGGGTGCCTGGTTTTTGCTAAAAATGCCAGCCACCACCTTGACAAGTTCGAAGAAACGTTGAGACCTTGTTTGTTTTTCGGCTGTCCTCTTGGGCAGTAGGGATATCGGGTTTATGATATGGACACTCATCGTATTTTTACATCATGTGATGTTACCTTTTATGAAGGGATCTTTCCTTTTCATCCTGCTGCTAGCCTACCAACCCCGCCTCCGCCGGTTTGTGCATGAGCATGTTGTATCTCAGCACTCGTTTGGTTAGTAGGTGAAGTGTTGGGTAGCACTTGGTAATTGACCAAGTTGCATGTCTCGGCTATTAACCTTAGTGTTTTAGCCGTGTAGTATATATATGTTTACAGTAGTCCAGACCCTGTAAGTTTGTGAGCATTGGCCAAAAACCTTAATAAGAGAAGTCGCAAGCTCCTTGTGTGAGCTTGTTGTGGATTAGTCTCGTTCAACCTAAAAACGAGGATATCATGTAAATCGGTGTTCGTTTACCTTCCGCTTTATGTTTTTATCAAAATTTGGCAGTTGAAATTAATGTTGGTGATCATTGGTTTGGAACAAACACAATCGATCTATCAAATTCCAACCCAATCTTTGAATTGCAGTCATCAATTTCTATCCCCACAAGGAATTTCCCATGCCCAATCCTATCCATAAAGTCCAACCCAGCCTAACACAAACTAGAGCTCAAACACCTATTCGGCCATTCCTCTAGGCCTTACCAAAATCTCAAAAATAAATCCAAACAAGCCCCAACTTCATTGACAAACTTTCATAAACATAAAATCATAGATCCAACGATCATTTTGTTATCTTCCCAAATAGTGTGGCCGCCATCATGGACACAACCACTAGCCGCCACTTTGCGTTTTCCCTCCCTCCAAACTCTCACTTCCCTTCCCTCACTGTCGACAGGCGGCTCATCTCCTATTTTTCTATAGGGTGAGCTATATGTTCTATAAAATGCAAAAACTACCTAACAAGACATGATTGTATCGTATGAAATTTGCCATAATATCTTATAAAATAAAGTGTGGGACAAGGCTAAGGAGCGAGACATCTTTTCATTGCACAAAATCAGATTTTGGAAGAGATACTAATGGTTGTTTGGTGCTTCTGTTCGAATATGGTTTCTCTATAATACAAGCAAACTTTCCACCCGTGAAATTGGTAGCCAACTTAAGGATGTATTTTTAAGAACATAGATAAAATTTTTGACACCCCTTAGTTTCATTGGCCCTCCACACTAATTGAAGTATATGAGCTCTTGATCTTGCTCAGCCAATAAGGGTTAGATGCTCTAGTAAATAGATAGCTCGTTACAAACAAAAATTACAAAAGTGATGCTCTATAGAAAATTAAGGAAAACCGAAAAAAATAGGTGTGCAAGTTTTTGTTCTAATAATGCAAAAGCACTAAAGGGTATGTTAAATGATGGTTGAAGCATTCTAAACCTCAAATTGTTTGAGACTCTTATGCATGGTTAGTTGTTTTATGTTTGAGTTGGATTGCATGATGTACTTGCACATTAATGTGGTTAGGATTCTCTCGTGCTATTCTTGATTTGGTAAGTTCACTTTTGATCCACTACCTAAGATCGAGTTCGAGTGACGTTCTTAGTTTTCATTGAGTAGTATTATTGTGAGTAGTGCTTGCTTGGAGACATGCAAAGTTCATATATGGGTTATTTCCGACAACACTAAAATTATTTTGATTATCACTCCCATATTCGATATATTTTCCCTTTCTATCAATGCATCTTTAGTATATTTTTCTATATTTTATGTTGAATTCATAACAATTTGATCAATGATCTATTATTAGACATAAGTTGTGTTTTTGTATCTTTTTACGTATGTTTGGTATGTTTTTGTGTTTTTCGATGTAAAATACAATCTAGGATGATTAGGATACATGCTTTGATAATTATGGAGGATCAATGGAACATATATGGAAGATTAATGAGTTTTCAGTACGAATCCCAATGGCGGGATGAGTGCAAATCGACCCCTTGGGAAGATGCGAAGGATGAAGGAAGCTACTCAACTAACAACACGATGAAAGCATCATACCAACCAGGGAAGCCATGATCGAGAATATGCAACCTATCCAAGAAAGGAGAATGATCAACCAAATGAGGAACCACAAGAAGAAGATAAGCTCAAGGCTAACAAAGAAGAAGAAGACCTTACAACAAAATCTTTGGAAATAGAAGACGAAGGACTTAGTGGGAAGAAGGCTACACTATTGAAGAACTTACACTAATCCAAACTTTCTTGGATTAGTGGAAAGATGTTGAAGGCTTTACACCCCTTGAGGGCTTTGAACACTTCAGACACCTTCAATATGCATTAGCGAGTAATCTGCCTATCAAGGCATCCACAACCATTGTAAACATCCAACAGTAAGAGACCGAGTGTGATGACCCCCTACACCTCGTATACGAAGTTTAACAAAACCCTTGGAACCGAACATTGAACAAGAGATTGTAGAAAGTAAAACAAGGATGATCAACCCCAAATAGAGAATGAAGGTGAGGATCTACTAGAGGAGCAACCATCTCAACCTATCCATTTGAAGAAAGAGCTTCAAGATAAGCCATTATCAGTAACGTTGATGAACTAACCAACATGGTATGCAACCTAGGAAATGAACATTATACCCCCACCATCTAAGAGATCGTGGAGGAGTTCATTAATGAAGAAATATAATCTAGCTAAATGGAGGATACTTCAAGCCACTCATCTTGAGTTAAACTCAAGATGGGAGAGAGAAACTGACGAATAAGGCAACTTCGATCTTAGAGAGAGAAAAACCTCTACATCATCCTCTACAACAATGGTAGAAGAGTAGCAATCCCACCTACTAAGCAATAATGCCCTATGCATAGAAGATCCAAGCCTTGAAGTGGATGGACCCTTTCAACATCCCCTCACTTCATCATATCAAAGAACTGCACAACCCTTGGAAAATAAGTACTTTGAGCTAGTGAAAGTAAGAGCAGAGCATGAAGAATTCATCACTTTCAAGGGAACTCTAGGTGAAAAGATGGAGGCTGACATTCCTAAAGTTGGAGAACATGAAGAAAACTACAATCTTGGTGGAGATGCATCATGGAGTCAAGCCAAATCTCACTCGACTCCTGAATGAGCTTTCCTTTGCAGTATTTCTTGAGAGCCATGAGAACATATCAACCCAAAGAGGGGAATACATGAGTCCCTCCTTGTACCGTTACCTCTACAAAATTCACACTGCTCACAAATCAAAGTGAGGGATAAAAGGTGCAAGGTGGAGACTACTAAGGTGACTTATTCTTCATGGTCCACCATCAAGCCTAAATAAGGATGGCAATCAACTAGAGCCTGCAATCAAAACGATGGACTTCAATGAAGCCCTAAGTTGGGGAGCTTGAAGAATGAGGAGCTATGCCTAGCTCAAAGGAATAAAAGAAAGAGTGTTTCATGGAAGGTAACCCATGTCTGACATCCAACTTACGGATGTAAATGAAAGTGCTACCGATGAGACAACCCGAATTTTCTGCTTTTTATGCTTTATGTGATATTTATGTTGAGAAGCACTTGCTCTCTCTTTGTTTTGTTGTACTCACATTTGTGTTGTTTTTGTGAAGATCCATAGAAAAATTAAAGGAGAAATGAAGCAGTGGTGATCCAACAGTTTCCAATACTGTGTCATAAGACGCATCCTTCAAGGACAAGGAAAGCAAAATCAGAAAGGAGAAGGAAAGTTGTGGCGCCTGCATCCGCCACCCACCCGCTGTCAAGTTGGCCTGCACTTCCATTCCTTTACTTACACGAAGAAGGAGTCCAGCTGGATCGTCTCCCACAAGAAGAAGGATGGCGGGTCCGATTACCACTCCACCGCCACTACCACCCGCCACTTCAATCCTTATTCTTCAATATAAAAGACTCAAAAGAGTTTGTAGCGTGAAGGAAAAGTTCAGCGGTACCACCCGTCAGACCTCTATAAAAGCTAGGACACCCCTCTTATTTTTCATCACATCCATTCACAAGATCTTAAGCAGCCAGAGCCAAAAACCGATATAACAACTTGTGGGAACTCTATTCTAAGAAGACTTTCAAGAAAGGAGTTGTCAAGACTCATCCTTGTGAGATGGTTGAGGAAAGAGAGGGAGAATCAACTTAAGGAAGCAAGAGGAAGGTAACCACCCAAGAAGGAGAGGAGAAGCATTGGTGGAAGCCATTGATGCCTGCTCATACCCACACAATGGAGACAACTCATGCCATGGAGGAGGACAAAGAGGATGGCACAACCTTGGCAGATGCGATGACCATCTTTGAAGAAGCAACTCAATATACTCAAATTATGCTTAATTTGATAGATCTTTTGGGAGGAGAAGAGAGTGTCATTCCAATATTGGAGACCATTACTGATATGGAGAACCAAGGGAGAAACTCGAGCAACTTCACGAGAATGAGAACATTGAGAAAACCATCATCGAATCAATTCCTTATGAACATAAAGAACTCATTCGAGTTAGGAAGAGAAGGAGGATCCTGGTCATTACACGATTGATTTTCTCCTAGATGACCATCATCTAGAGCAAGGACTTATGGATCTTGGTTCTAGAATCAATATCCTACCACTTCCACCCTATGAAGATATGGGTCTAGCCGACATGGAGGTGATTAATTTGGAGATCAAGTTAGCTGACAACAATCTATGTCAACCTCTTGGAGTAGTTTGAGGATTGAACACCTAAATTGGGTCATTCATCATCTTTATAAACTATGTAGTGATCAAGATGAAGATAGAGACCCTTTATTCCTTAATATTTATTAGGCCATTTCTAACTATTGTTGGTGCTATAATCAATGCAAAAAAAGAAGAACACAAGTGGGCGAGATCATGCATTGAGTAGTGAGGTCTATTGAAGACGAGGATACAAATCAACCCATTGATGATGATGATTTCAAGGAAAATGAGGAGACCGAGTTAGAGATAGAGGTCAAGATAAGATGGGGAATCTCTATATGAGGATTTGTTACACATAATATATCATCATTACGATGAAGGTCTAGTCTGGGGAGACGAGTTGAAAGAAGCTCTACAACTCCATATTGCAAGCTAGCACAAATGTCACTCAAGATATTCAGAACACAAAGATGATGCTAGAAAAGATCGAGAAGCTGGAGTATGAAACATCGATGGAATATCAAGAGTTCTTCCGCCATCGTCGACATAATGAATTCAACCCCATGGTGCCAACAATGATAAATGCAAGTGAATGGGAGAAAGAATAGACTTAAGATCTCGATTGGTCGTCAGTTGAGAGCATGATCTTTAGAAAATAATGGGAGTATCATCTTTCCCTTTGTTTTTCTATTTTGGAATGAAGAGTAGAAGTATTTTCTCTCTTCATTATTTGCTTTTATTTTTATTTTTGTTTGGTTGGTTGATTTAGAATCTTCCTAAATAAGAAGAGTGCTAGTAGCCTAAGACATCTTTATTGAAATTAGAACAACAAATAAGTTAACCTGTTCCAACCTGTCAATATCTTAGTATATTTTAGTCTACTGATGCCAATGTCTATTTTAAAGTATGGTGCGGAATTGTGTGCTACGTGCTACCTTTTTATGCTTGATACATGATATATCTTTAGTCATTCAATTTCGAAATTTTATCCAAAGTCTAGTAGTTATGTGATCTATGTGATTTTTTTTTTGAAATTACTAAAGATGTTCTCCATCTAATGATTGTCAATCATCCCCTATAAACATGTTCACTGCTAATATTAGTTTGAACCAATGAGTATATGGATTGTCATTCAATCTAGGGAGGATAGTTTAGTGACTATGAAGGATGTCGTAGTCAATGGGATATACTGACCATTTGATGTGTTCGAATGCTATTTTGTTAAGTTCATCCATAAATTTCTTATTATGCAAAACAATTTCGTATTGCCAAGTTTTTCAAAAGGTGAATTGTATCTCCTACAAAATGAAAAACCTACCTATCAAGGCATGTTTAACATTTGAAAATTTCCATGCTATATGCGAAGAAATAAAGTGTGGGGTAGGCCCAACGTGTGAGTCATCTTTTCATTGCACAAAATTGGGTTTTGGAAGAGATACTAGTTGATCTTTAGTGGGAAAGTCCTACTAGGTGATGCTAGCTCCTCTCTAGTACAAGTAAAATTTCCACCCGTTGAAATGATAGCCAACTTGAGGATGTGTTCTTAAGGGCACTGATAAAGCTTCCGACACTCGTTAATTTCATTGGCCCTCCACACAAATTGAGATATATAAGCTTCTAACTCTTGCTCAACCAATAAGGGTCTAATGCTATAGAAAGCTCTCCAAACAAGAAAAGTGTAGAAAAAGAAAAAAAATTATGTTCAAAGGAGAAGAAAAATCGAGAGAAGAAAGAAAAAGAGTACCTAAAAAATGTTTATCAAAAGCTTCACCCTATGTGTTTTGAGACTCCAATGCATGGTTAGTTGTTTATGCTTGGAGTAGATTACAGAATGTTCTTGCATGTTAATGTGGGTAGAATTCTCTCGTGCTATTATTGACCTTGTATGTTCACTTATGATCCACTACCTATGATCATGGTTAAGTGATGCTTCTTAGTGTTCATTGAGTCGTATGATTGTGAGCAGTGTTTGCTTGGGGACTAGCAAAGTTCAAGTGTGGGGTATTTCTGATGATGCTCAACTTATGGTGTTTACCACCCCCCATATTTGGTACATTTCCACCTCTATCAATGCAACTTTAGTAGATTTCACTATGGGGTTGTTTGGATGGGTGATTGTATTGAGTTATTTGTGCTCAAATAACTCATTTTGAGTAATTTGGGCTAAAATAACTTGTTTGGCTGAAATGATGTGGGCTGGGTTATTATTTAGTGAGTTAATTCAGAATACCGCAAAAACGCGGTAAAGAGAATACCTGGTGGGGGGGGGGGGGGCAGTTATTTGACAATAACTCATTTTGGCACTTTTTTTTATCCCCAACGTGTCCCTGACCCCACGACCAGATATCGAGACCAAGCCTTATTCCTTCTGCTGCGTTCTCTTTCTTCTCTTTCTTCTCAGAACCTTTTTCATTTTGCTGCTACAATTGCTTTGGAGCTCGCGAACGGGACGAATCGACGATCTCCAGCGTCGTCTGCTTGGTAGTCAAATGAAGCGGCTATCTCCATCGAAGTTACAACAACTTGTGAGGTTTGTGAGTCATCGTCTCTATCCCGACGTCCTTGATTTGTTTATTAGGGGTTTATTCCAATCTCGCCTGCAATCGTTGATTCCTCTATGCTTGTTTGAGCTTCTGCTGTAATACACGCTACCTAACTTTTATTTCTCTGTTAATTGGTTGTATTATTTGGTTGGATGTTGTCCAGTAAAAGTCTCATGGGTAATCACCGAAGGTTCATGTTATTTTCAACGAAAAAGGGTTTTAGTGCTTTTTTTCCTGTTTTTGTTCTGGGTATAACTTGTTTATTATATAAAGAGGGAGGAAGCAGAAGTTGATTACCAGTGGTATGTAAACTGAACTGATCATTCATTTTTCTTGTCTTGCAAAGGATGTCACGTTTGTCAACATTGAATCCAACTCGTAGGCGCCAAGTTGTTGCTGCAATTGGCTCCTTCATGAATCTGATTATGATTTATGTATGTCTAGGAATGGAATTGGCTAAAATATTAGATAAACGATACTCTAATCGAAGACTTGCTAGGCAACCCTTAGACACCTACTCGGTTAGGCACTATGATAGGCAAAGGCACCTCAAAAATACAACCAGATTAAGTGACACCTATTGTTTTGGTCAAATCCGGATGAATCGTACTTTATTTAGAAGGTTTTGTGAGGTTCTTACCATGCAAGGGGGGGGGGGGGTTGAAGAAAACTAGGAACGTAGACGTTGATGAGATGGTTTATGTCTTCCTTCGAACTATTTCACATAATGAGAAGAATAGGACGTTGCAAGTCAATTTGCGACGATCAGGCGAGACTATACATCGGTCAATTCACCGTGTGTTGAAGGCCGTGATTAGACTTAACAATCAGTTCATGAAGAAGCCGGTTCCTATCCCTGAAAATGAAACCAGCAGTAGGTGGAAGCATTTTAAGGTTAAAATCCATCCTTTGTAATCAAAATTTTCAATTCATATAATCTGTTTTGACTTTTTTCCTTAACACATTTCTTTTATGTTAGTAGAAGTGTTTAGGAGCTCTAGATGGAACTCATATTGATGTCCAGCCTTTGACGGAGGACAAACCTAGATATCGAGATAGGAAGGGCGAGCTCACCATGAATGTCTTAGGTGTCTGCACTCCCAACCTGGAATTCATATATGTTCTTGCTGGTTGGGAGGGCAGTGCCCACGACGGTAGGGTCCTCCGGGATGCTCTCACTAGACCAAATGGGCTTATTGTGACTGAAGGTACAACATTCATCATGCAATTTTGTAAAAGTCAGAATTACTTTTTTTCATTAAAATCCATAACCAAAGACCTATACTTTCAATGAAGGAAATTATTACCTCTGTGATGCTGGGTATGCCAACAGCCCTGGTTTTTTGACCCCGTATCGGGGTCAAAGATACCATCTTAAAGAATGGGGTGCTAGGCAACCTGAAACTGCCGAGGAGTACTACAACATGAAACATGCATCTGCTCGAAATGTTATTGAGCGCATTTTTGGCATTCTGAAAATGAGATTTGCTATTTTGAGAAATGATACATGGTTTTCTCCTAAAGAGGTCACTCGAATAGTAATAGCTTGCTGCATTATTCACAACTTTATCAAGACGGAACATGGTGTAGACGAGATTGAGAGGACCTATAGAGACAAAGAGCCCGAACAACAGCCTCTAACTGAGGTGGAAACCATTAATGGAACCAGCATGCACCCATGCGCTACATGGACTCAATTTCGCAATGACAAGGCAACTTCCATGTGGGAAAATAGATAGTCCAATCCTAATTAGTGGTGGTTGTAGCTGTTTGGTTAGTGCTTAGGCAACTGTTATGCTAGGAAGAAGCTTATTGTGTAAATTTTTTAGTTTTTGATGCAAGGAAACTTCCATGTAGACGAATATATATTCCAACCCTAATTAATAGTGGTTGTAGTTGTTTTGGTCAATGCTTAGGCACCTGTTATGCTTAGAAGTAGCTTCCTGTATAATATTTTCAATTTGTGATGTAAGGGAACATATCTTATTTGGTTTAATTTAATGAATCTAGTTTGCAATATTTGTTATCTTGTATTTCCAATAGGCTGCATAAATTATTCCACTACTGTTCTTGTATGAATCTGGTTGTTGCCATGTATTTTCAGTCATGGGGAGGAGAAAGAAGGTTCCAGTTGGTGAAGCTGTCAAAACCAAGTACAACTTTTGGAATGCTGCACATGACACTCCGTTCGTTGAGTGCTTGTTGGATCTAACAGAGAGAGGGCTGATCACCAATGGAAACTGCAAGAATGGTGTGTTCCGTGAGATCCAACGGATGATGGAGAAGAAAGTGCCCGGCTGTGGTCTTAAATCAAAACCGACCATTCAAAACAGGTACAAGAAACTAAAGCACTAGTATCACTCAACCGTATTGATGCGCAATCAAAGTGGGTTTGGCTGGGATGTACAGAAGGAATGTGTTAGTGCTGATAATGCGGTATGGGATGTGTTTCTAGAGGTATGTTACTTTTCCTACTTTGATCTTTACACGAAGCAAAAAGGGCTGGTGGAGTTGCAATGGTAGTTGGTAGTAATGTAAGATCCAAACATTTATTGTGGGTGTAGTAGTTGCATCTGTAGCTGGCAGCACGTTTTTTCACTGTGCATTAATGGTTGGTGTAGTTATTTATTATGCATAAATATGACTTCAATGTAAGTTGATGTTTCCAGCAAAACCCAACATGTAAGACTTACAGAGACGCATCATTTCCTCATTTCTTTGACCTTGCACCGGTGTTTGCCAATGGTCGTGCCACCGGACTCTCCGGGTTTTCAGGTCTGTTAAAGCGATGTTGGTTCCTACAGACCTTCCAAGCTTAGGTTATGGTTTGTGTAATAGATGTTAACTGATTATGCATGAATGGGCTGAAAACTTGCAGGCAATGACCCGGAGATCATAACCGAAGGTGAAGACAGTGGCTCGGAGGACGATGAAGGCCATCCAATTCCTCTAGATGAGCTAGGCACTTCTGCAGCAGAACAAGAAATGTATGATTTAATAAATCAAGGGGTAGAAGATAAGAATCTGAACAAGAACAAGAACAAGCATGCAGCAAAAACCACTATTGGTGGACAGATTGAGAAGAAGAAGAAAATTCAGGACGGGGGAGCTGAACTTGCGAGTGAGATGCAGTTACTAAGGCCACTCATCCAACAATCCATGGACATAATCGCTAAAGCGATGGGCGAGAGCGAAGCACATGATAATATGCGGAAGGAGCTGAGGGCAAATTTGGACAAACTAGAGGGTCTAACCAGAGTTCAAAGGGTGATGGGATTTAGGTATCTGAATGCAAATCCGTCAGACTTAAAGAGCTTCTATGAGATGGATGACGAGGACCGGCTAACCCTTGTGCTCAGTCTCCCACCACTGTAGATGCTAATGTATATAATAGTATCTTGGGTAGGATTAGGATCTTATCAAGTTATCATGTGTTGTCTAGTTTGCAAAGATGTATTTTGTTTCTGTCATTTAGAAGCACTCTAAATGACAGACTTTGCAAACGGAAGACAACCTGCTTTTGTAAAGTGCACATGTTTAAATGGTTAAGTCGGATGTAAATGGCTAATTGGAATGATAAGTCGCCTTTGTAAAGAGGTGAAACTACCTTTTGTAAGTATTACCCAATGAAGTAGTCAATGTTGTAAGTATTTATTAGGTGGAATGCAAAGAAAATCCAGTTACATAATGCTGGTTTTATGCTCACTTATGGTTTGTCATTTCTAGATTTCTGCAGGTTGACATGTATCATGTTCACCAACTTCTCATGCGGATGAAGAAACAGATAAAAGCAATTATGCCTTTCTTGTTTGTTTTTCTTCATACAATCAACATATGATGATTTAGTTACATAATCCGTTAATCCAATTAAACAACAGTTACATGATCTGATAAAACATGAGCTACATAATCCAATTACTAACAGCCCTTATGTAACAAGATCAAAATGAGATTGGGCCTAACAAGAACCACAATAACAAGCTGCCTAAATAATATCCACTACAAGCTACTTACAAGAAGGTCTTCATAAAACAACTACACTAATTACTGTCATCCAAATACATTTTGGACTTGAAGCTACCGCATACAACACTAAAACTACCCCTACTTGATGGTTAATCGGCTTATCATGGTGGCTGCCGTACCCGATTCTTTTTTGGAAGTTTTGACAATAGCCGCCACGAGACATTTGCAGAGCACAACGCCATCGACGTCGCCGCCTTGAACACCTTGCATTGCTCTTCACACGGGAATCGCCGGGGTGAATCGTGAAAGCAGGACGGAGAAGATCACCAACGCCCTTAAAGAACACTTTTTTTTATAAGACCCTTAAAGAACACTTTGTGAAAAAACTTGCAGAGAGGAGGAAGAATAGTTTCCCGCGGGCAATGGTCTTTTGTGGAATCAAAATCTACCATTAAATATACATGGGCTCACAATCATTTAGGGGCATTAGGGTTTTTTACACTTTTTTCTTTCTAAATACCACACAAATAATAACTCACCTTTTTTACATCCAAACAACATAATTGTGCACCAAATTTCAACAAATACCACTCAAATACCACATGACTAGAAAGTGAGTTATTTCTACCAAAAAATAACTCATTACACAATCACCCATCCAAACAACCCCTATATTTCATATGAATATCATAACTATTTGAATAATAACTTATGATAGACCTAGAGTGTGTTTTGTATTATTTTATGCCTTTGGTGTTATTTTGTTTTTTCTTCCAATGATATAATGCACTCAAGATGAATATGGATCACCAAGGGACCAATGGATTAGAAGGAGGACAATAATACAAGCTCATACGCTCAAACGAAGATGGATTTGGACATCAAATTCTCACTTTACAGTCAAAACAAGCAGATATGGTAGTGAAGCAAACCCAACTTTAATCGAGGTCCACCTAGAGTTCTACAAGTCAAAACACACCAACATATGAAGGATAAGTTGCTTGTGGGCCAAGAAACCAAGCCAAGCAAAGAGTTGAGTGGCAACCCTACCCGCCACTCAAGCCCACGTTCCAAAATCTTCATTTCCAATATTACTTCGTCCACAAGTCGAAGGAATCCAAGTTCAAGTCGTACAATGAATGCTTTAGCCAACTTCTAGAGGAAAAAGACTAGAAACCCCCCTTCTATAACTAGTATAGTTAGAGGTTTAGGTTAGAGCTCTTAAAAACCTTTTACTAGGACTCTGCCCTATGGGCACGACTTAGAAATCCATATAGAGGAGGCGAAATCCTGCAGGAATTCGACGATGAGTCTTCACCATCGATGCCAATATCATTGTTGATGTCTTTCTATGCTCTTATGCATAGCTAGCTCGAAATGTTTTAGGGATGTGACTCTATGATGCTTTATATACTACTTTCAATGAGTCAATGATGATGTCTATTGTGTTCAATGATCTTTACCATCGATGGTTAAGTCAATTTAGCTTTATATACTACTTTCAATGATTCAATGATGATGTCTATTGTGTTCAATGATCTAGTCCATCGATGCTTAAGTCAATTTATGCTTGTATCATCTATTGCTTATGTTATTAAATACTTTAGTCTATGTATGCTTTAGAATATCAATGCTTATGATTCTATATATTATGTGCTAATATATGAAATATGCTTAGTATCATCTTGTGTCATTTTTTTTAATTTCATTTAGATCTAGGTAATTCTATTACGTGCTGCTATATGATTTATGTTTAGTATCATCTAGATTGTTAAGATATTACCCTCTAGTGAGATCCCATTGATGTTACATGAGTATAGATGGAATGACAAAACTATCTATACCTCGAGTAGTATGGATGCTATAGATTATGATTCGTGGCTCAAGAGACCCAAAACCGTATGATATACTAGCTTCCTTATTATTCATTGATTAGGTGATGGCATGAAGCGAAAGCACGAATTAGCTAGTCAAGTTCCTATTGCATGTGGGAAAAGCTCGAGTAGGATAGCCTTAGTCAAAGGGAAATGGCATCGTAATAGATGATTCATATAAGAATCTTATAATGAGTTAGTATGCATGATCACAAGAACATCACTGCCTAAACAATCCTTTTACTTGCTTTGATTCTATTTCTTATTTGCATTGCTTTTTGTTTCATTATTGTTTAGTAGAGTAGCATTTCGACTAAGGGCACCTCAATCCATCATCTTTACTTTCCTTAAATCATCATTCGAATACAAGTTGGTTAGGTTTGAGTAGTTACTATCCAAAGACCTCGTGGAACATGACCCTAGTCCATCTAGGATTTTATTAATTGCATTGCACTATACTGTTATCAATCACTGATGTTTTATTTGTATTCATAATGCCAGTGGACCACGGAATGACGAATGTACAAGGATCCTTACACTTAAGTGAGGGCTTATTGTGAATGAAGGCCGAGCACACCTTTCTTAAACCTACCATGATGCAACATCAATCTTTCTTCTCTCCGAGAGAACCCAATTGATAAATCTTATTTGTTTAGTTACCAAAATTATCATATCAAGGAATTGAATATTGGCTCTTAGTTTGTGTGTTATGTCAATATAGTTGGAATAATTTTCATCATATTCCACTTTATTAAGTTAGTAAGGATTATGAACTCTAGGCTTATCTTCGGTAATTTTTGGGTTTCCTTGACACCATCATCCACTCTTAGCCTCTATTCCAAGGAGGGGGCTTCACCCTTCAAATTAGGTTCTCCTCTTAACTTTGAAATGCTTTGGTTAATTTACTAAATGTCTTCTTGCCAAGAGAAATTTCATCGGCAACTGGATTCTAGGGTACTTGTACTTCCATTTCAGTACAAAGAGTGATAGGAGAAGACTCTCCTTATGGAGGTAACTAAGTATTACTTGAAGATGCACCCATTTTCTTTGACATCAATATTTCAATAATTCAGTCTATATTATACTCCATTATGCAAAGAGAAGTATGTTGGATTTCTATTTTTTTTATTTAAAAGAGAATTCGTTTCGCTTTCTTGAGTGCTAAAAAATGCTGATTGGCATTCAAAATAAACTTGTCTACGAAATCCAACCTCTGCTGCATGTGGACACAAGTTGACCCAGTATTTCTTCTAACCTATCAACCATGTTGTTAAATTCTAGGATTGAAAGAAGAGTGTCTTCAATCGCTCGATGTAGAAATACATACTTGGTTGTGAAGTATATGAAGTTCTGGTACTAAGAGTTCAAACTACAAAAACCTTGTTCGACAGCACTTGCTTCAGCCTTCAAAAAACTTGCTCCACTACAAAAAACTTGAAGCCAGCCTTCAAAACCATGGTTATGACATTTGACAAGGAGAGATTTATGTATTTCCCATGCATCATGCAAAGGCTCTTGCACCATGTTGAAAGTTAAAGATTTCCCCTCGAAGTTGAGATGCTTTTGAGGGGGGGAATTATGGGTCGATGAGCTTCACATAGAGGTCTTTCCAAGATGTAATGGAGAGTTTTGGTTGATTGACTAACCACTTCCTAGCTATCCCATTCAATGAAATGAGAATACCCTTTCCCGGATAGCCTCTTACGGTATTATAACCAACTTGATTCCATCGGTGAAGTCAAGGAAAGTGTGAATATGGCTATGCGGATCCTCATCCTTCAAAATGTGGAATTAGATGATTGTTTGAATCATGGTTATTACGCACGTCTAAATCTCATATGTGAGGTTCTCCTGATGTTTGAATGGAGATTTGATAGTCTCCACCCTTAGACGAGAGCAATAAACCATGGTTCTCTTTTGGGGTGACTCTTTACCACCAAGGTCACCTATTTCATTTCTGCATACCATAGCTACTCACGTTTAGCAAACACTCGTAAACGCAATAGGGGATTAAACACAAATAAACAAACAAAGTTTTCAAAAAATAATTTTTGATTTATTTCATGAATTTGAAAGTTAAATGTCGATGTTATTTGTTAGATTCATATATGAATGTTTATATATATTTATGTTATTTATTGGGTTCAAATATAAAATTTGGGATGTTTGTGTTAAATATTCTATTTAAATATGAAGTGTTCGACACAGGTTATCATTAAAAAAATGAAGTGTCGAGTATATTCGTTCCTCTCCTTTCAGTTGAGCAACTTCGTATGTTCCACCGCAGTCCGCAGTTATGCCAGAAAGAAAAGGTTCCACACGAGCTCTCGTTTTTGGCATGATGGCAAGACCAATCTTTGTTCCTTTGGCCTTCTCCCTTCGGCGGGTTATGTAGAACCCTTTTTGATCATAAATTTTGTAAGTAGGTTGTTGGTTTTTATGCGCATATATGATTTAGCTAATTTGGCACATCCTTGCTTTTATTTTGTTTGAAATGAGAAATTGTATTTAAATATGTCATATATATTCCTAATA